ACAGAGCCGGGCACTGCAAGAAACAGAAACACTCTCTGGTTTATCAAGTACACACAGCGCATCCAGGGAAGCTGGTTTCATTACTAAGGAGAGGAGAAAAGGTCATGTGAGTTTTGGCTCTAAACCCACTAAATCTAATTCATTCATAACATAATGTATTCACTGGCATTTCCCTACGGCAGGAGGTCCTAAACAGGTCCTCAGGCCCCCAGTAACACACAAAATAATGATTTATGAATGGTCTCCTTCACTTTGAGCATGCCTGCAGGAACTGTGAAAAATTCTGAAGGCTGACAGTGGTCCATAGTCCAAAGTAGTGGAGAACCACAGTTCCCCACTGAAGCTGGATGGGTATCTTGTAAATCATTAGGAACATATTTAATTCCATACATTCACTGGCCCCTATTGATTTCCATTAGACAACACATCTATCTGAAACAAGGGCAAGCACTAGAGTTTATCAGAAGGGGACCTGTGAAAAATGAACCCAAATACCAATAAGCTGGTATCTGCAGATGTCTAGGGGTGGGTGATCCCCTAGTGGGAACTCTAGTTTGACTGGGAACAAATCAGAACATGTATGGAAATTTAATGGGGCTTAAAAGGCCATACTCTAAAAACTATAAATAGGGAATGAGATTTTCTTCTACAGCTTTTCTTTCATTTGTTCGGTTTTTTTTTTCTTTTAATAAAAGCTCAGGCTACACCTCTGTAGCAGGAATTTAATTTTCTAGTATATTCCACAGGATGACTTAAATTAAAATTGCAGAAATAGCATCATTTTCTATTAACTTCCACATGACTTGCCATAAGGCAGTCTAAACTCACTCCGAGCTTTTTTGGGGCACGCCAATTAGAAAACCGAAGATGCTGTCACAACAACAGCTGCGAAATCTGGAAATGTCACTTCCATCGTTCATGGACTTAACACTCCTTTCATTCCCTTGAAAGAAAGGAATCAAGACTTTCTCATAAGGAAGGAAATCTAAACAAAGCATATGCCCATAGGAACCTCGTCCCACCGTCCATGGAAATAAACAGTGCAACATGCACGACCTTTTCTCTTGCAAAACAGGATTGGAAACAGATGCATGAAAAGCTGTTGTCATTTACCAAATGCTAAAGTTGTTTTGTAAATGAAGAATGTATGCAAAACCTGTTTTTTGGAAAGCAAACTGGAAAGCAAAGATCAAGGAAAAAATCAGCACTAGCATATCTACCTCCTTGAAAGGACATTTCGGTCTTGTAAATACGCATGCAACACTTACGCATTCTGTGATACGGCAGTTTAGACCTATGCCTGCAGGTCGGAATGGTGCATGTGAAATGGTCTGACAGTCACCCAAGTATGCCAATGAAAAGCCATATCAGGCATTAAATCAAAAAATATTTTCATGCTACATAAAGAAAAACCTACCTGAAGGTCCCCACCGCCATCAGGAAGGGCGCCTGGAAGACCCTGCAATTCATGAAACATGGTCTTTTAAATACATCAAGACAAAAACCAGGAGGAAATACGATTTCTAGAAAAACAGACCCAGCTCCGTTGGATCAGCACGAGGCAGATACCCAGCCCCACAGTGCAAAATGCAGCCCCTGAACCCAGAGCGTTATGAGCTGCACCAGTCCTCAAAACAGACATGTCAGGGTTGCAGTCATGCTCCGGAGAGGCACAGCTGAGCTTGGGGAAGAGCCTTGAGCCTTAGGTGATGAAGGCAGCAATTTGAGAAGAGCAGCTATGCCTGGCCTCCTCCTGGCCCAGGGAAAGCTCCTTGGGAAAGACCTCCTGATCCCACTACTCAACCCTCCAGAGAGACCAGAGCAAACCCAAAACAGAGACTTGCTGGTTTCAAGCCCCCCTTGCTGACCCTACAAGAACTCATCATGATCCAAGCAACCATATAAACCTTCCTTGAGAGAACAGAAAGCCCACCCTGTGATCTGTCTATGCCGTAAAGCCTGGACATCACTGGGTTCCTCCACCCACAGAGCACAAATAATAAACAGGAGATAAGCAACACACCGAAGTGTAGCCAGCGAAAAGTGACTGCTCTCCTTGGGGCGCAGTGTTTTCGGCCTGCTGAAACTTAGCCTGGAAAGGGAGTGCTCATGGCAATCGCAGCAAATAAAAAGTGCACATTCTGACAGCAAGAAGAAAATTCTGGACTCCCCATAGGAATTTTCTCACATTTATTTGCAAATCTCAACTTACGGGAGGTCCGGGTGGTCCAGGAGGCCCTGGGAATCCTGGCAGACCAAAAGGTCCCTAAAAAGAGTGAGAAATAGTAAGAATTCCCCCTCTTAATCATTTAAATGAAAAGCGAGAGGAAGGGAGGCTACCAAATACCATTGCATGTTTGTGAATGTGGGGCAAGATATCTCTAATGGGACTAAACCGTACCTTTCTTTCCGCAGAGGCTTCTACGACTGCAAAGAGAACAGCCGATGCATACGGAAGTATAGGGATTAGGACAGAAGAACATATCCCTGCACCTACATCCCTGCTTCCACTGGCTCTGTACCTCTCTGCAGCGGAGCTGTGGGCACCCAGAAATGACGGTATGCTTCTGCAGAATGGGCTCCCTCAGATCAGACCCATTCTGTGCAGTAGCTTCTTTTGAGGATGGTGAAAGAACACACCAGCTAGTAACTGATCTCTGTTCTTGTGACATTGGCTGCCCTTTTGTCCTTACTCATAGCTGGTAAAGGAAGATAATGGCTGCAAGCAGTTGCACATCTTTGGCATTGCACTGGTTGACTGGGGTGACCCTGCATAAGCTGATAGGAGGAATAGCATTGCCCGTGGGCATTGGTAGAGCTTGTAGTGTCCTGTGCATCACGCTTCAGAATGGGGTAAGAGACCAGAATGAACCTCATTCTTCTGTGGTTGTGGCATGTTCAGTAAATGAGAATCAAATGGTAGGAGCAACTCACAGGAGGACCCCGAAATCCGTTTCCACCTGGGAGCCCGCTGGGTCCTGGAGGCCCCTGTTGAACAGAGGAAAGATCCTTAACACCCATGGCAACCTCACATAGCTGTGAAAGCCCGGGGAACACAAACAGTCTGGCTGTACTCATTTGTCTAACCCCTCCGAGGAGCCCAATCCTGCACCCAGACAGTCAGTTTACCAATGCACATCTTTCTTTTTGCTCCACCTTCCCACGGAGCATGCTCTTATCATCGCATGTTGCCAACATCTGCATCCCCTCTGACACAGAGCAGCTCCGAGATGCTCCATGAAACCACCGAATAAAAGCTGTCCCAGAATTGGTCACTTCCAGCAATTAGAAGGCTGCTGTGCCTTGAATTTACACCATTGTCAGCTTCCCTGGGGGCAAGGTAAGTGTAAAAAAACCCACAAGGCTGCCGACCTGCAGGACTCCACATCCCTCTGTCCGGAGGGAGAGGGACCCAAGGTCTGGGGTGGGTTTGTAATGCTCAAGGTACCCAATAAAACTACTATAATAATTTAAACCCCTTTTTTGAAAAAGAGCCTCATTACTTACTGGAGGTCCTGGTAGTCCTTTGCCCTGGAAACATTTAAAACAGTAAAAGATCACTTAGAAACAGAACTGAACAGGAAAAAAAGCAAACCTTAGAAAATGCTGCTTAACTTTTTTTACTTTTAAGTTTCCTTAGCAGTCCCCTGTTCCCAATTATTGTAATTTGCAATCAGAGCAGAGCTGAAGTCTTACTCAATCCTTTTGTTGCCTCTAATAATTTGTATTCCCTTTACATTGCTGTTACCTACGAGACATCTCTAAGTAAAGCCACATACAGTGACGTGATAGTGGGACACAGACATTTATGAAGACAACATTCTAGTTTATCTACTTTTCCTTTTTTTGCCTTTTCATTTCTGTTAGACATTATCTAATGTCTGATAATTTTGATAGCATTTGATACGCTAGTCTTTATCCCAAGCTGGCTTGCTTTTAACATCTCAGAGACTGAGAACAGGCCCTGTGTTACCAGAACAGGTCATACATCTATATTTAAACACTTCAAACAATATTTTCTCACTCAGTCAGGTTTTGATCCCTTTGTTTGGGGTACAAGGCTTGCTGTCTTGTCTTGGTGATGGTTTTGCCATAATATTACACACCACCTTTACATATGCAGGTCTAGGAGGTACTTACAGCTGGTCCAGGTGGCCCGGCAGGTCCTAATGCACCCTACAGGAATAAACCAGAGTGCAGATTAGCAGGGATAAAACAGAAACCTCCATATGGATAGACACCAATGCCTGCTCTCCTTGATATCAATCTTTGCTTGGAAACTCCAGCAGTGTCTTATAGTTAACAACACGCGGCTGGAGATGCTCAGCTGAATTCACAAATATAAGGATAGAAACTTATTGATAATGATTAGTTACTTGATTGAAGAACGTTTTAAGATAGTAGGGATGGATGTTCAGAACTGGGCCCAGCAACTTTCTTCACCATTTGCTGCTCAAGAAAGAGTAGAGACTAAAACATGAGCTGCTCCTAAAAGACTAAACAGACACTTCTGCAAGTCACAGCTGGCCTTAGATTAATCTCCATGAATATCTAAATGTTCATAAATTGAACTTCATCCATTTGAAATATTCTTATTCATGATACATTCATATTGTAGATCCAGTGACTAAATTATCCGAAACTATTTACAAGATTTGGATTCGTTCAAGTGAATTTTATTAATTCATACATTTTCCCTTCTAGCAAAGACAAAGATTTGGCAGCTTCTCCCTCTTCACTAGCTTTCCTTGGCAAACCCCCAATCTCCTTTGCCCAGTTTGCATTCTTACTCTTAAGCTTAACTAGAGTTTGGTGATCTTATGTCTTAGACAAGAATTAAGTAATTCTTGAAGTTGTTACATTCCTACTTAACTAAAGATAGTAAGACAGACAGACTGAACTTCTTAATCCCTTTGTTGCATTGCAAAGATGCCAGCATTGGCTGGTAGAATGTAAAATTAATTATAGGTAGTAATTCTGAAACAGAAAGTAAATGGAAATATAAAAAATGAACAAAAAAACCAGTGCGGTGGGTTGACCTTGGCCAGCAGCTGTTAAGATATCTCCAAAAGGTACTGGGTGTGCATTGCTGACTGATGCTCTCGGGTCCGAGAGCCTCCTCTGAAAACAGCTATTGCTGTGACGGAGAAAGGAAAAGCAGAGGCAGGCAGCTGGTGAGGGCAGAGCAATTTTGTCACTCCTTTTAAAAAGCAAAAAAAAAGAAAAGGAAAAAAAAAAAAGAAGTGGTGGAGGTGCAGAAATGCCAGTGTAATTTGGGGTGAATGATAAATAAAATAATAGTTTGCTCAACAGCCCTGACGCAGCCCTCGCAGCGAGTTCTCTAAGCTGTGCTGACACTCGGGAGCTACAGAAGAGCCGCGTTGTTCTCAAGGCCCTGCTGCAGACAGCTTTTTGCTTGCATTTGTATTGTTGTCGGCTGACGTTGCTCTCTGATAAAGGCAGAACTTAAAACAGTAAGAAGGTGACAGACTTAAATACACAACAAACCCTGTTGTTATTTATGGACTGTGTTAAACTAGTGCCAGCAAAACCCTCATCTCCTTGCGCAGGGGACAAAGAGCAATTACAGCACGAGGCTTCCTCAGCCTCTTGCCAGCCCAATTTGCCCAAACCTGTTTTCCAAAAATTCTCAAAATGCTGCACAGAAACATCTCGAGAACGATGTCCTGAGCTGGAATTAAATGGTGTCTACCCTAGGAGCAGGAGAACAAGGCAGATGGGCAGACCTGGAAAATACCCCAACACACTGCTGCTTATCGTGATCCCAGGGACGACTCCAGCCCTTTCCTAATGTTCTGCATACCAAATGAGATTAGAAATATTTTCCCTTGTTAAGCTTAAGGAGAAAGATACAGAGGACCCAAGGCCTCATTAAGAGAAGTCTTGTGAGAAAAGGACTGTAATCCAATAAAAATCAACTCTGCTGCAAATGTCAGCTCATTCACTTCTCTTACTGCAGGTTATTCTGCTTTTCTTCCAGCCACTTTTATCTTTAGGCTGAACTCCTTACAACCACTGATGGTTAGGATCTCCTCCTGTAAAGAAAACATGGAATTCCTGGCACCTACTGACTTGCACCCTAATCCTGCCCCCGCTGAAACCAGCTGCACAGCCCCTGTCTGCTTGGGCCGACATGCCGAAAGGTTGGCAGAGTACCCAAAGTGCCAAGTGTTGGCACTTTACTCTCCTTAATTTTGATATCTTTGAGGGTGTAAGGTGCAGCATGCAGCAGCGAACGTTCCTGGTACGATAAAAGATCATCGAGTCCCTGAGCAAGCTGATGTGACTCCATTAAGTTCAAAGGAGAGATTCTAATTTACACCTCGATTTTAATAACTTTGTCTGACTCAACTCATTCTCCTGGTAACAATGTTCTTTCTCTTTTGATTAGAAAACAATCTCACCATAATTTTTCACTTTGAAGTAATATACTTCATAATTATACAACTACGGAGCATAGGAAATACTTGATTAATATGACATTCATAAATAAATATGAATAATTATGTTTTCCTCGTTGCTTATAGTGTAAAGCACCAAACTTCAAAATGGCCTTTGAAAACTTTCCAATGAAGGACGCCAGTATCTAGCACTGAGGTCAGAACCCAGCTTGTTCCTGGCTAAAAATGAAGGATTCTTTTAATTGAAAAAACAAGTAGGCTTGATCTAATCAGTCTGTAAGCAGAACCATGAGAAAAGCTAATGGATGCTGATAACGATGGCAGTATTTAAGATAAAAACCATTTTGGTATGCTGCCTTCACAATACTCTGTCCCTGGTCAGACATGAATCACTGTTGGACTGATGAAGCGTGGCATATAGAGGAAAAGAAATGTTTAGCAATAATGTATTACTAAAAACTGTCATCCGTGAGCCCACTTCCATATGCTAAACACCTTTGCTCTCAGACACTCCAGTTCAGAAAAACATGCTTGTTCAGGAGAATTCATAGCGTTAAGCATGACTTCAATCCCACAAGAGTAAGTAGGCACCTGCTTATTTCAGTGATTCCTGGGAGACCGAAATGTGTTCTTAAAGTTGGGCAAAAGAAAGAAAGTCGGGATAACAATGCTGTCCTTTTAGAGTGCTAGAGTTTTACAGTTTTTTTTCTTTTTTCAGGCTTTTATTAGACCAATTAAAACAATTTTCCAGATGGACCACTGACCTTGAAAAGCTTCCACAAATGACAACAGGTCCCAAGTTTGCCCCATGCTGACAGCTTGAGTTACGAGACATGGGAAAGCACATCAAATCAGAGCATGTAGTTACGGTAACTGTGCTAAAACAGCGTTTGTGTGCTTCTACTAAACAACTGAAGAGGAAGATCTTGTGCCCAGAAATTATCTGCTCCATTGCCCTGCAAACTAGGAGCTTGTGTGCTAAAGTGGGCATGGGCAAATACTACCACCGAATGTGAAACAGGGGCACAAAACTGCTCACAGTCTTCTGTGTGTGGTCCTGAACTTTTCTATTTTAAAAATCAGGGATCAGTTCCCAGAAGGTGCTGGACTCTTGCCACAGACTGTCTGAGAGTGGTCAGGATTTTGCAGCCCTGGATCTCTGGGGAGAAAGATGGGCACGAGGAAAAGCAAAGGAGATGGTTTTCAGTGCAGTGCCAATGGACGGAGGCTTGGAGCTGTGACCAAGATGCTTGGGTCCTGCCACTCAACTTTCCCAGTGGCCAAGCAAACTTCGCCTTGCACATGGGAAAGGAAGAAGGGCGTATCAAAGATATATGGCTCTATCACTCATCCCTTTAACTAAATGAGACAACTCACAGAGTTTTGAGCTTTGGGTAACTCCTTGGGGCAACAAATGGATTACTGAAATATATTGAACCTTTTTTAACCTCTACATGCTTGATGTGTGTTCAGCCCGTCACTGTAGCCCTGAGTTCAGGAGACCAGTGAACCAATTATAGATACCAATTATCTTCCCACATTGGGAGACAGGAGAACAGCCATGCTGGATAAAAATCTGTGCTGTATGGCTCATTCATGTTTAATTCTTAATGTCATAAAGAGGCCTAAGTGCCTTTCCAGCCCCACTGTAGATGATCTGAAGGACATCTGTAACATCTCAGGCAGTCATTTCTCCATCCCTGTGGTGCCCCTTAGCAGAGCTGTAACATGCAGGAAGCAAGAAAAAACTCTCATTTCTTGCTACGCTGGCTGGGGGAGTCTATGCCAAAGCAACTAATAATGTCAACCATACGGACAGCCCCAGAATTAACAAAAGGCTAAAGTTTAAACAGTTAATACACAGTAGCAGTAATTATAAACATAACAGAGCTACGTACTCAGACTGCAAATAAAGGCCAAAATAACTTCACTTTGATAAACTTCATAATTAAGTCTATCAACTGCTACAGGAACTTTTTAGATACTCAAAATATCACCAGAGCCGTTCTGCACTGGTACTGCCACCACTAAGGCTATCCAAGCCCATTCAAAGCCATGTGAAGGAAAGATGGATCTCATGCCCTGCCTAATTAAAAGCCATCTGGGGCTTCAATTCAAGGGTCCAAGTATTCTGCAAGGGTTTACGGATAAATAAGCCATCGTAATCAACGCTCAAATGTCACCAATTTACAAAGGAATGAGAAATCATCAATACAATCAGTGACAATGTTCATTTAAAGGGACTTAGGATCTGATGTGGTACTCACACGGTCTCCTGGAGGCCCACTGGGGCCAGGTGGGCCATCGGTTCCTGTTAAACCCTGTTAAAAAAAAAAAAAAACAAAAACACCGATAAGCATGAAAACAGAGAAATACAAATACCTATAGGAAGTCCCTGTCACTGTCACCAACACAAACCGTCTGGATGCAAAATTCTCAGGAAAGCCTAACCATTTTAATTTCTCTCTGTAATTAATCACAAAGGAAAGGACCAGAAGCAAATTATCGGGACTGTTCCCTGTGTGTTGTAAGTGTGGAGGAACACCAGCAAGTAGTCTTGTTACTGGTGTTTATTGAGTTGCAGCTTAGCTGTGCAGGCTGACTGAATGCTTCCTCTCACCTGATGCAGAAGAAAATATGCTGGCTAAAGCCTTACCCACAGTCAGCTACCACGGCAGTAAGTTGGTAAGCTGGGAAAACTTGAGTCTGTGCAGTCACTTGTCCAGCCCTGCAAGGCAAATCCCAGGCCAGCGACCCGCAAGCCTCAGCTAGTAAGTGCGACTGGATTTCTGAATTGAGGCTCAATGCGTTTGCTCCAGAAATGTCAACTGATGCCTGTATTTCTGCAGACTTACCTAGTGCACCTCTGAAGAACTGCAGTGTTTCATTGTAAGAGTGCTGTCCTATCAGTTATGCATCTCAAAATTGTTCTCGTACTCCTTAATTCAATCAAGAGATGCTTTCAACTCTTAAAATTTCTCCTGATGTGCAAGACATATACATAGATCCAAGACCCACTTTGCTTTTCCAGCAGACACAGAGAAAGTTGATGAGACACTCTGGGAAAACACCCACGTCTATGTGAAATGTTTAAAAGACCTAAGAGAAGATGACAAAATACTCACATCCACTCCAGGAAGGCCAGGCAATCCGGCTTCACCAGCTGCTCCAGGCTTCCCTGGTGCACCCTTTGGCCCCTAAATCAGATAAACAGGCAATTATTTTTAACATAGTAACAAGAGAAACGTGGTGTGTGTTGATACGGGCTATAAGATGGAAGTTTATTTGTTGATGTGTTAATCTTACACCATGCAACACGGAAGAATTCCTGCAGAGAGATGAAACTCGCCATGAATACATATCCAAATCCTAAATTCATTTCAGTGCTTTGGCTCAGTTCCACACGCAGTTAGTCATAAGCTGTTCCTAGTAGAGGGGTAGAAAGGGATGGGGTAAGTGGCCCAAAACAAAGAGCTGTGCCACCTGGTACATTCTGAGCACCCCTTGGCAGACTGAGGAGCTGAAGCAGACTCAAACCAATGCCAAAAATAACCACGCATATGTGGCTTGGTACCAGTTTTGTTATATTGGTGATGGGCGAGCTTTATTTCATGCATATCCTCCACTAGCAATGAAGCAGGAGAATATGTTTGTCCCCAGGACAGTGCTGAGCATCTCCACTCCTGTGTCTCCCTTATGGAAATTCTGCTGCATATCAAGAGGAAAGTGAGTCAGTAAGTCTTAGCTCTTGCATTGTGTCCCTCTCAAAAGGATGAGCAAGTCAGTGTCAACCAGAAAATACTTACTGGTGGGCCTGGCAATCCAGGAGGGCCTGGCTCTCCCTAAATGAAAAAGACATCAGTGTTAGTGCTGAACCTCTGTTGACTCCTTGCAACAATGGTGTTCCCAACTGTCATAGCGCTCAGGTCTCCCTCCATGCCCACTCCAAGATTTACCACGCTCAAGTCTTATGAAGCTGATGCTCTAAATTCTGCTACCTTCTAAAGCAGGATGAACTTGGACAGCCTTTTCCACATCTACAATAGCAGATTTGGTAACACTCACCCCCTCAGCCTCCCAGAGAGGACCAGTGCCCAGCACCTCCAACTATTTCCCAATATACTTAGAAATTATTTGCACTTGGTCTTGTCTGCAAGTGGGGCAAACACTCACACCCTCAGCCTCCCAGAGAGAACCAGTGCTTCTGAATGGTGCCTAGCACCTCCAACTATTTCCCAATATACTTAGAAATTATTTGCACTTGGTCTTGTCTGCAAGTGGGGCAGAGAGGGAGCTGGATGGCTATCAAGGCTTTCAAACATCTTCCTGATGAAACAGAGGGATACAATAATAAACTCCAGGTATCCAGGACACAGTATGAAACTGTGGTAGTACCAGGAGTTGGGGACTATCAGAAAGTGAAGAATAAACAAACTGTCTACAATGATTTTCTTCATACGACTAAACTTTGACAGGAAAAGCAAGTGAACAAAGCCCCCAACTGATTTCCACCTAATCCAATTGCACAATCTGGATTAAACCCAATTTTTATAAAATATTTCAAAAGCACTCATTTTTTCCTATCCTAATGGAAAGCAACTTTTAAGAACAGCATTAAAGGTGTTTGGGAGACAATATTTAAAAAGTCTTTGAATCAATCCTTCTAGCGCAGCCAGTCATTCAGGAGCTTGCATGGATCCCAGACAACAAGATATTTGTGTTTTATTGTTGGCCCCCCAAAGAGGCAATCATCTGTGAATAGCAGGAGCTTGACTGGAGCTGGGTTTCCCATCTCATCCTGCAGAGAATCACGTTGTGTCCCAGTTCCAGACGTCTGGAGGGTACCCTCCCCTCCCGGCTTTAGGGTAAGTGCACTAAATACTGTGAAAGGCTCAGGTACTGTGGGCGAGCAGAGGGGAAGGGGTGTGTTGATACCCTGGAAGAAGAAAATCTGTATGGAAAAAGGCTGCTTATTAACACAGCAAGGCTAGAAATAACACCATCCCCACCGTGGGCCTGATAATTAGGAGTTAGAAGGCAGTAAGCAAAGTTGTGGAATTTATAGCATGTTTCTATATTTACTGTGTCGGCAACTGTGAAGTCTGTGGGCAAATCTCTCAAGACTGGCTGCCTTGATTCGCTCAGGTGAGGATTTATGTACTGCATTGGTGACCGATCAACGCACAGACCAGAGGATCATTGAACAGAGGGATCTTTATGCTCTGTCTTGCTGAAGCAACTCCTTTGCTGTCCTTTGCCCACAGATTTTCCATAAATAGTTATCATTATCATAGGCAGGGAAGGTCCCCTGCCAAGGAAATGAAAGGAGCAGTTCTTTTGCAATGAATGGTTTGAAAAGGCAGCTAGAAATGGCAGTAGAGGTGGTTTATTCCCTCCTCCATCACTTGAGATTGCCAGCCCCTTGCATTTTTTCTTGCCTGTGTGATGGCAATCCATACAGCAAGGTCACAACATCAGCAAAGGCTGTTTGGGACCATCTTAAACCTTGATCCTGCCATCGTGGACCCCTGCGGGACTCTGCAGGAGCACCAGAACTTCAGGCAGCTGAATCAAAAGCCTAATCAGTGTTTATACCCCTAATGCCAGATCACTGGGAATTAGAGGCAAAGGCTGTCAGCAAAAGGAAATGCTCTCCTGGTGCTACAGGAGAGGGAAGGAAGTTTACTCTTTCTTATCAAGTCAAGCCAGGAGACAAAAAGTGGGGGAAAAAAAAAAAGCACTTGATTTTTGAAAAGTGACAATTGCTTATTAGCTATTTGGGGAATTACATCCCCAGAAATAATTCACAGGAACTTGTCGCTAATTCTTTCGATCATAACATGCGGTTTCTATTCTTGGGAGGGAGAGATTTTGCTTGTTACTGAGTATGAAACGTGAAGCATGTTAAAGGCTATAATTATAAAATATTTCAGAGGGACTTAATGTTGCAGCTCCCACTGAAAGGCAGGAACGAAAGCAGGAGCTTCTAGAAATTGTGCTTATGGGGTTCATCCAAGGTTTGTTTGGAGATATCCTGAATAATTCAGCTGTATCTTAGGCATTGCTCACTGCTCACGGCCGATGGTAAGGGACTGCGGAACACCTTGGCAGCACTCATCCAGCTCAAAGACCGTTCAGTGACTCTTCCCACACAGCATTGATCCAAAGCCATCTGTGAAGACGACCCAGTTGGAATAGCTTACAGAGTTCAGGAAACTTGCACAGATACGGTCCAGAAAAGTTCTGTTGTGCTTTAAAAGAGTCTCATCACTAAAGAAAAGAAATAAAACAATGGTTTCATTCTTTGCAGTGGTAGAACTGACACTACCACTCGGGCTCCACACGATCCTCTCCATGCAGCACTATGAAAATGCAGAGCAGTACTGGATTTTATATGCCATAATTTTTTGGAGGGTACTGCCAGAAAAACTGTAGCCTTTAAACTGGGAGGCTTCATGACTGTACTCAACACTAGCCACAGCTCTGCGTCTCTTCTCCTATGCAATTCCTTAAAGGACTAAATGTCCTGTTGAATAGCGGAAACCATCCCAGAGCCTGTCCCTGAACAGCTGGACCATCTCACATGAACAGGGCACCTGACAACCTATATCCATAGGAGGGATGTAAATCAAGGCTGTTCAAATGAAAGACTATTCCTGCGCAGCCAAAACTCTAGACTCAAGCTGGGACTGCAAGACTTAGCACCTTAAATACTTGACTCAGCTGTTTGATTGATTAGAACTAAGTTCTTCATATTAATCAGATGTTGTTATTTAGTCCTGTCCCACAGGGAGCCTTCTGAAGCTTTTAGCAGGGGATAAAAGGGCGCAGGTTCATGTGACCAGCATCTCTCCTGTTTCCAAGAGCAATACGAAGTGATGCAGGTGCTGTTCCAAAATTAAGGTGTAAGATACCCTGTAGAAAGCAGGAACTGAACGACAGAATTACAGGGATTTGTTTCTTCCCGATTGCCTATAGGCAGAAATTGGTTACAACTTGAAGTCTGAAGGGCTTCATCCCTCCCCAAATTCTTCTTTTTCGCTCTGTACAGAAAGACAGCCAGCCTTCCCGGAGGCCCGCTGGCCACACGGACGTCCTGCTGCAGTGACTCCAGGGGCTCCCGGCTGCTAAGGTGAATGCGTGTCCTTTGCCCTCTTCCAGGGTGTCCTCTTAAGCCTTTTATCACATCACGAAAAACAGCGGAGAGAAACTGTCAAGGTACCAGCTCTGAACTTTCCACGCTACAAAACCAGAATGAGATTTTCAGTGAACCACTCTCCACTAGTCGAAGGGACACTTCAGAGGGACTAGCTGCAAATCAATGAGGTTTCTCTTCAGACCAGCCTTGCTCACAGAGCCACTATGAAAGCTCACCACTGCACACAAAAAAGCTCCTTGTTCACCATATACCAGGGAACTCATATATCTTTTTTAACCTCCTTATCCAAAAGAAAGTGACCTGCATGGAATGAATAGATTTTTTCAAGGTTGCTTAAAGGCCCAATTCCAATAAACTTACTTCAGACAAGCTTTAAAAAACCCTGTCCTATTCCATAAGCAGCGTAGAGACAAGCACTACTCAAACTGAATATCAAAGCAGGAATCCGGATCCGGCCTTTTGCATTTGATGTGGTCTTGTTGAAGGTTCATCTGATGCTCTTTTTATCCACTGCCAACTACAGGACACAATTCAATCCTTATCCAACAGATGCAAAATTTTTCATTTCTATGGAACTTCAATTAAAAGTAATAGGACAAGTTTTTCTCCTCCAGTAAGTCCTGCAGTACGTAGTTTCCTACCTCTGCAGGAGGTGTATGTGTAAGGAACTGCCTGCTGAAATAAAGGTTGCCCGTTTCATTTGCCTTTTGTGCCACTAAAGGCAACTCATGTCTGGCAACACACGAGCCAGATTCTGTCCTCTCACACACCAATCTCAGTTAGGGAGAGCCATACTGACAATGCTGAAATAAAACCAATATAAGTAAGAGCAGTGTCCAGCGCTGCATATTTGAGTTTCTTGGGGCCTCTCTAAAAACATGGATTTTCTAAGTTGTCACATAAACCCTTCTCTGAACTACAGAACGTGCAGTGACTCCAGCACACATCGCACCCATGCACTCAACTGTATCACGTTCCCCCTCCTCCCTAGGCACCAAAAGAGAAATATGCAGCTTTTCAAGCAGGTGATGAACCCCTCTGCATATACTAGCTCTGTCCGGAACTCTCTCCTGAGTCGGGGGATTGATCCTGCCAAGAACCTGAGTCCACTCAGCACCTCCGCTCGCCGTTCTGACTCTTGCAGAACGAGGTCTTTTGCGAGTAGGCTGGTTCTCCAGGTCCATCCACCTCTGAAGGATGGCCCAAAGGCTGGGGCTCTGGAGAACAAGAGCAGCTTCTCTGCTCCGTTGGCTCTGCCTCTGCTCCCCCCCTCGCCCTGCCGAGCCTGCCCTCTGCCGTACGCCACTCACATCTATGCCGTCCTTGCCAGATGGTCCCGGGGGTCCTTGTGGTCCAGGAGGGCCTTGTGGTCCTACTCTCTGAAAGGATCGGGGGAAAGAGAGAGAGAAGAGTTTATTTTTGCATCAGAAGAAACCTATGGGTTGAATCAAAAAGCAACGGCCAAGTCCTACAGCTTAACCCTCCATCTGCACTAACCCCCCATCCCTCAGGGCCCCCCGCCATCCTGGGTGGACTCAGAGGAGCTCAGGACTGGTGCAAAGCTCTTCGGAAAACCCTTTTGACTGAGCACATCCTCAGGGCTCCCAGGTTGTTTAACCGGTGGCTTATGCTGGGAATCAAGAGCTGGTTGCTGGGCAGTAAATGGATTTGGTTGTGTAGGAAATGGTTCTCGCTCCCTACAGGCACGTTTCATTTTTGGCAGAGGAGGAAATGCAAAGCCCACGGAAAATAGGCACCAAGTACTTGGCATTAAAAATTAATTTATGGTCCCAGTCTGATGGGGTGATGGAAGAATCAGGCAGACACCGTTGAAGACAGAAGGAGAAAGGGAAAGTCTCCTCTCTGAGCAGGATGCCATTTGAAAATCTGGGATTTTGGAGGAGGTCTGAGGTGGGGGGAAGGAAAGAAAGGTCCAATAAATGACTTCTGTATGGAGAGGGCTCCAGAGAGCAACTTGCTGTAGCTTCAGCAAACAAAGGTTTCATTGTAGAAGCAGCTCTGCTCGCAGCAGATGAGGGCAGCTCTGAATTCCCAAGCCAGACTACAAAAATTCCTCATTAACACAATGAAAAACCTCACTGAGGAGTTACTTCCCCAGGCAATAAGATTAACAACATACAAGGAAGTTTAATATAGCTTCATATCTGAAGTGAACAAGGGTTAAATATGCTATTTTATAAGTGTAAAATTTGAAAATTGGTTGAGGGAAGGAATAAGAAATTCTGATTCAGATGAAGACGCAGATCAGGAGATCAGTCTCATTGGCAACCTATTACTTCACTGTGAAAACAAACTGTTTCTCTTACATCAACACGTCTCCCCTTTCCCAAGGTTTCCTCTCTCGTAACTGCAGTCCTGAACGGGAAGACAATACTTTCACGGAAAGTGTAAAGCAGCAGTTTCTACACATGATGATACGATCTAAATGCCTACCTATGCAGGTACAGAACCAGATGTGTTTGCAAGGCCCTCTCTGTACAGCAGCACAAGCAACGCACGCGTTTTCAATAAACTTTAGACTCTAATAACCTGCCTATTGCCCCATTTCATCCTGCAGGTATAACATACACAGATCACTATCTTTTTCCCTTACGGACTTTTTTCTTAAGCATAAGACATAAATGAGGCTTCTTACCTGAGCTGATGTTGTGGCTAATAGCTGACATAGGAAGAGAAGCCCAAGAGCGGAGAATCCAGCCATGGTGCCCAGGCGCTGCCTCTCTCCGTTCCTCCTGGGCAGCTAAGCCGTTTACTTCTCCAGGGTCGAGCAGATCCCTCCTCCTCCTCCTGGGTCTCAGCTTACAAAGGAGAGACTCCTGGCCTCCAGATAAACCTGCGGCTCCAGCTGGAGGGGCAGAGCTCAGGAGCAGAGGCAAGAGGGGCTGAGCTGGGAGGAGAGAGGTTTCGGAAGGAGGTGGGATAAGGAGGGGGAGCAGCAGGCAGCCAGGAAGAGAAGCTCTCATTCATGCCCCGCTGGGCAGCCCCAGCCTTGAGCAAACAGGGAGGGAGCCTAAGGAAGGGCCGGACTTGCAGACACACCGCAGGAGCAAAATTCGGCTGCTCCAGCTGGAGATACAAAGATGTTCCTTAGGTCTCACCCGGGCCGTTTCTCAAAGCCCATCACCATCTCACTGCTGGACAGATAAAAAGCAATACAGAGCGAGTTATTCAGTGCCTGAGGCTACCTAACCTCACTAGAGAAATTAATATACCTGTAACGAGTGCAAGATGCACTACATAGAAATGCACTTACTGCTTTGTGAGATGGTTTATTAGCTCTGGAGGTGTATTCACATCTGTTTTTTTTTTTTTTTCTCTTCTCAGGGAGGTCTAAAGAATGCCAGCTGATTTCTTGAGAAAGTGGCGAGTCCTGACCAGAGAACAGATGATCACAGACAGATACGAGGAGGAAGAAAAAAGGAGAAACATTCTCAGAGCCACAAAAAAAAAAGGAAGAATTGCCTTTGAAATATTTGCAAGGAAGGAACAGGATTGACAGTTCCCAGCTAGGTGATCCCAAATGGCAATACATTCACAAAGACACATCTCCTGCAAATAGCTTCATGCTTCCCTTTATCGATTAAAGACAGTTTCATCCAAAGCAAGGCTTGGAAGAGGAGAGGAACAGCGGCAAGATTCATCAGCGCTGAAATGACACGGCTCATTTGGTTAGCAAGAGGAGAGCAGAAGTGGAAAAGCAAAGCTTAAAAAATGAAATACCAGGTTTCAGTTTGGCATCCTTACGCCAGGAGATTTGTATGAGCACATAGTGTGTGCCTACCCAGCTCCCCAGCAGCCAATATTCCACCAACCTTGACAGAGGGACAAAGGGCTCAAAGATTTACTAAGTTCCTACAAGATTTTGTGGAACAGGCAGCTGGGGCCAGAAAGGGAGTGTGTGTCTGTATGTCTTCGAATGGCTTCAAAGTAAATTGAATGCTTTATTAGACAGCACAATCCCCGCAGAGGGAGAGCAGTGCAGTCGCACGAACTGCTTCGCACAGAGCTTGTACCTCCTCCTTTGCACCGAGGCCAACTGACGCCAAGAGAGAAGGCAAAGCAGATCCCAAACTCCTTGGCTGCACCTTGCTCACAGCAAGCCAGGGACTGGAGGCTGCTGCAAGCGAAGCCTGCTTATGACCAGCAAGGAAAGAGCCCTGGGAGTATTCACCTTCAAGCCCATGCCACAGAACAAGAGAGGACTGGTCCTCCTCTCCTTCCATGTCCCCAGGCAGAGGGAGCACAGCTGAAGGGACACAGCAACTTACAGAAATCATTACCACAGAGACACCCCTGCGCTTGTGTCCTGAAGGAAAAGGCCCACTAGAGTAAAGCCCCCCTATGCAGGCTGGGCAGCTGCCCTCCTGCCTGCTAGCCCCAAGAGCTGCTCAAAAGCAAAGTCCCTGTTTGCTCTACAGAGCATCACAACACACACCTGGGAGGATGGCCGCAGAAAGCCAAGACAGGGCATACTGAAACATGTCAAAGCACATCATTAAACAAGAAGCATGTGGGGGGTGTCTTCTCCCCACAAACATTCACTGGCCACACTTTACAGCAGTGGAGGAAGACTGAGCATCATCTCCACATGGAAGAAGCAGCAGGTTTCTCTCATGGTGAGCCCACCAGACTTTTGCTTGGGAACGCTGGACAACCCCATGCACCCACTCGTCAGAGGTGCCCAAGCAACAGCAGATGGCTACAGGGCATGGTGGTGGCAGGGCAGATATATGGTCATATCCTGCCCTCAAAGACGAAAAAACCGTAAGTGGAAACTGGTATGCATTAAAGTCATGCTTTAATAGGTGACATTAATGTTACAGACTGTGATACAGCTCTGAGTACTGGAAAACATCCTGTGAACTCACCGCAAACATCTACAGCCAAAACTCTAAACCTGATCATGATAGGGAACGGCTTGGTTTGAGCACTCCAGACTAATGGGATTTCACTGTGAGCCCTAAACACAAAACCAAACCACACATCACCGTAACAAGATATATGATCTATGCCCCAACTGAGCAGATATTCACAAAGAAAACTTCATTAAATAAGAAAATCACTGTAAATCTGTACAAAAGCCACGATTAACAATTTCTTATGAATCTTTTACGAAAGAATTTTCACTCAACATCTTCAAGTATTAGTATCTGTAGTTAAGTGGATTCTTATTGGCTATTTAACTCCATTTGTTCATAAGAAAAAAAAAAAGGTAGTATTGTAAAAACATTAAAGCCTTTTTCCAGCGCATGTGTGACCATGAACATCAGATGTTAAGCTTGCAGACTTTTATTTCCACACACATGTATGTGGCATGCTGGATCAGGACCTACAGTCTGGGAAGGCAATTCCTTGAAAGATGAAGCTTCTTAAGAGCTGTAGCAGAGAGAGGAAAAACATTAACATTGCACAGGCTACTGCATCTGCCCTCTGGCAAGGCGGGCAAGCCTCTAGCCATCTCCTACACAAAACAAACAGCACCTAAAAACCCCAAAACTAAAACAAACAATCTGAGCAAACAGCAAGTCCAGACCTTCTGGCTGTTGGAAACAGTTTCCTCCGCTTCATGAAACAGGTCCTCTGTTGTAAATCTCTAGAAGCGAAAGTGCTAAATTGTTTAATGCTCCTTCAGACTTGGTTGAATACTGTGTAAGTCAGGCAGCATAGCTATCAGGGAGGTCAGCAACATTGAGGCAGGCAAATAGCTGGCAAGGTCTGAAAGTAAATTCTTGAGGGCTGTAAATAAATGAACCAGACAAGCATACCCCCTCCAATTAAAGTTTCAATTAACGGCCCCACAAAGCCCAGTGGTTTCCAGACATGTTGCACTCTAACATGCCCTCACTGTCTGACACGCTGATCATTAATGGTAAAACAATCCTGCCCTAACTAGGAAGTGGGTTAAATTTGACACATCTAACTTCATGCAGTAGGCCTGCAGAAAAGACAGCCCCACAGGCAACTGCAAATTAACAGCAGAATCTGAAAAGATGCAATGACAAATATTTGTTCTATTTTGGCAATTGAGGAAGGCAGGCCTCTGAACCAGTAGTGGACATAAATATCTGTGGAAGACTATCAAGAGTCTGAAAGTGGTGGAAAAACATGGGGAAGAAGAGCTCTAGACAGCTTTGCACGAAGTCTGAAGGTTTTTCTCTTAGACACCAGTAGACAATTCATATTCTCAATTCTAACAAGCACTACAAAGCAACTTCTGTGGGGGATAAACAGAACAAATTAATCAGCACTTTGCATCCTAGAGAATAAGTATCTGTACACAAAGGTTAATACTAGCCAGAGATCCGTTTTCACTACACATTTTATCCCAGTCTAAAGTCAAACCTACTTTCTTTATAGGAGGAGAGGCAACTACACTCTTACGTGATGTGAAATGCATATACTCATCTCTTTCAGGCAAATGCCACAAAAATAATGACTTATGCCCTAGGAAGCAGAAACACAGCATCTTTGCCAGGAATAAATCTCCTGGGAAGGTACAGCCTTTCAAAATAACAAATAGAAGTTACATGGTAATAGAAAGGCTTGGCAAATTAGGTCATGCTGTCTTACATTAAAAATCATATATTTAATAAATACTTGACTAGTTCAAACAAGGAAACAGATTACTTTTCCTCTTCTCTTTAAGAAAGGACGTACCAGAACCAAAGCAAAGTGCAAAAATCCCTGTTACTCCAAGATAGTCCTGAACATCAGATAAAAAAAAACAAGAACAGGACACAGCCTGTCCGTGAAGATGACTAAATTAGAGTTTTCCTCTTTAGGGTAACCAAGGGCTGGATCTCAGTGAAGTTACTACAGATGATTAAAAAAGTGTGGAAGGGTGAAAGTCAGACAGGGGCTAGCCTGGATCAGCCCAAAGGAAGTTTATTCTTCTGTGTACTTCTGCTATCCAAATCACTAAAGCTGGCTCCTAGCAGTTAGGGCAGTGTCATCTTCGCTTGCTCGAGTGCTTGCTGCGCTGGCCTCACTCTGCTGCTACCTGCTCTTCATCAGGTTCTGCTGCACGCTCAGAGCTTTCAGGTTTTTGTGTCACAATCTCAGCACTGTGTTCTTCAGGACAAGTGGATGCTATGCTCTGCTCAAGACTCTCTGGAACTTGTTTCTTGCCTGTGACTTCTGCTTGCCCTTTTTCACTTGCATTTTCTGCCTTTTTATGCTGTTCTACCCCATCTACCTCACTTTTGCCTCTCAGGAGTGTGCAGTTGCAGTGGTGCTCATCACTCCTTGCTGTGACTTGATCTCCACTTGACTCCAAGCCATCACTTATTGGAGAAGTCCAGCCAGTCTTGGGGAGCCTAGAACCAACCGGGGGTCTCACAGCCCCACCATTTGTATCACCACCATCCTTCTCACTTGTTGCTTCCACAGTTGCATTTTTCTCACTGGCATTTTCTTTTTCAGCCTCAGTGTTTGCAACAGATGGACTTAACTGGGCACTAGAGGCAGAGGGGCCCATGTTCAGGTTTATGGCCAAGTTGAATGTTTTGCTTCTCGATGTTCTTTTATCAACTTTCCTCCGTTTTACAGCTGCATCAGCAACCTCTGGCGCTGTGGAGTCTTTGGTGCTTGCATCGTCTTCTTTCAGTGCTTCCTGGTCCTCTTCTGCTTGTAAGAGTGGAACTGAGGAGGGGATTTCTGCATCAATTGCACATTCTCCCAGATTACGGGAAATGTTTTCAATATCTGTAGGGTTTTTCAACAGTCCACTCTTTTTAGCGTCTGCCATATTTGCATCCAGTTTTCTCTTCTTGCTCTCCTTTGTGCAATCATTCTCTGCCGTACCCTGCACTTCTTCAGTCTCACTGTTTAAATCCTTCTCCTCCTGCTGGATAAATGAAGCCTCTTTCTCCTCTTCACCATCCCCTCCCTTCGAAACGCATTCACTTAACTTCTCTTTTACATCTTCATCATTCCCTTTAGGCTGCAAGTCTATAGCATCTCCAGCTTTCTGTTCTTCCTCTAGAGACTGGCTCTGATCCTCTTCCACAGAATCATCACATTTTTTACCAGGAGTTTCCTGTTTATCTTCAGCCTTTTGTGGCAGCTGTGACTTGGTAGAGCACGCTCTGTACTTCAATAGTTTGTCGTGCGGTCCCCATACAAAGCTGCCTCGAGGTTTGAAGTGTTGCCAAGCATAGTGGACTAGTTCTCTTCTCTTCCGCTTGCTTCTGATGGTGAACAGGAAGTAATCCAAGGCACTTCTCTTGACATTTGGTAACGTCTCCTTAACAAGAGTTTCTGTTAGGAAAAACTTGACCAAGTGCACTTGATAGTGTTCATATCCCATCTCCCCCAGGCACTTCAGGATGCGCGTAATCCGCAAATTGTTGTGGCTAAACCTGAAATAAACAGATAAGCAAAGTTGTTAAGTGAATCTTACAAGCTTGAAGTCACAAGGTACCCCCAGGGTACCTGCAAAATGTTTCGTGTATTATTGACTGTGATCAACTTGACAATGCACATAGGAGTATAGGTGGCCTTACTTTTAAAGCACCTACTGCTGCTGTCTGCCTTTAGCAGTACCTTCCTAGCCCTTCTAGGACTGCTTGGATTCATCATCTCAACTGCTTGGAAAGGTTCTGGCTTTCTGCATCACCCACCAGTAGATAACAGCCACCATATTGGGTCAGACGCACAAGTCATGCAGCCCAATATCCTGTCCCTGCAGGGTAAGCCTGTAGGAAACTGTAAGAATACAGGCACGTAAGGATGCTGCCAGAAATTCATGAATTCATGACTTAAGGAATTAAGCTAGGCACAGCTTTTTTTTTTTTTTTTTTTTTTTAAAAAATACTTGACAGTCAAGTTGGTTTTTCTTTTGTGAGCATGCCCAGTCCTTCAGTCCTTTTAGAGCCCTTGTTGTTATCATTACAGGTACTAGAATATGAAGGGTCATTACTATCTCTACGGTAAGACCTGCAATAATATAAAAACATTACCAACAATTCATAGAGCACTTTTCAACCAAGGATTCAAAGCATTTTATACACTTTAAGACAGCTTTATAAACCATCAGGGAAGCATATGGAAACAATCCTCTTTTGTAGATTAACAACACTACAAAAGCAATTTGGCTTCCTGTGAAAATGTTTCAGTGATTCCTGCTTAAAATACGGATTTAAACACAAGCTCTGCTAGAGCAAATATTAACGTCTCCAAGTCTATATTTTGTACTTCAGGAGACCAACCTGAAGAATGCCTGCTGTTATCGGCTGCACCAGATCAAAAGAAAACCAGTCTCAGCTGGTTTACTTATTATACTTGTCACTTATTAAAGTGACAGAGAGTGTGATGACCTACAGTCAAGCTGAGCCAAGCTAAAACTACTTTAGCTAGCTAACTTTTTTATCAACAAAAGCTTCCATTCCTCAAGGGCTGAGGATTTTCTTAACTCTTTTTTTCTTTTCAAAGTAGTGCCTGGCTGTAGAAAACGACCATCAGTATAAACAGAGACTCACCGGTTCAAGTTTTGAAATCGTTCAGTCCAATTCTCTGCTCTCTGAAGTTCTCCAGTTTCCTCATTGATCAGAATGATTCCATAAAATCTTAGCATGAGCTGATAAGCACGTATAAACCTTTGCATAACTTCCTTGGACTTCTTAAAGGCCTGAAAACAAGACAGACCAATGAGTACAAGATGCAACTCCCTAATTACCTGCACCAGTTTAAGTGGCACCTGAATTATAACAAGGCTTGATTATATCACTAAGCATTTCATTTGCTGGTGTAGCTACTGGCAGACACAAGACAGACAAATGCTTAACAGTGCTTGAGTGAGCTCCATTCACACTAAGGCCCCAAGGAAGAAACGTAAAAAAACCTAGACTTCAAATGTAATGCATTTAGGGAAAATCCTAACACCCTTCAGATCTTTTAAAAAAAAAAAAAAAAAAAAAAAAAGACAAAAGCTTTCAATACCTGGATTTCTTGACATGTGAGTGGTTTGGCACGCCAGTTCATTCCATGTTCACGTAAAGGGAATAGCCTGAAGGGAAAGAAATTTTCAGCCCAGATGAGCAAAGATGACATCAAACCCAGGGTACCCATTTTGTTAAAACTAAAAAAGATTCCAAAAATTGTGGTATCACAGGCACCTCTTGGAGACCTCACATCCTTATGGACACAGAAGTAGTTTACTATATGACAAATAAATCCCTCCCATAAAAGCATTGTCTACACCAATGATAACAACATACTTTGCTTATCTGGATCTCTCTCGTTGCCCTAATACTTTGTTCTGCAGTATGCTATAAGACCAAGCATGACTGAGATCTACTGCCACAGCTGCACTGGAAACCCATGTCTTCAGGATTTCCACTGCACTGTTTCCATAAGACCACGCATGACTGAGGTCTACTGCCACAGCTGCACTGGAAACCCGTGTCTTCAGGATTTCCACTGCACTGTTTCCAGAAGAATATAACTCAATAAAAATAAAGTGAACACAGGTTTCACTCAAGAGTAATTCTGGGCCTTTTGGGAAGCTGAATTCAGGAACACAGATACCACTGACTCTTAAATGAGGCACAACTAAAGAGACGCATGACTGAGGTCTACTGCCACAGCTGCACTGGAAACCCGTGTCTTCAGGATTTCCACTGCACTGTTTCCAGAAGAATATAACTCAATAAAAATAAAGTGAACACAGGTTTCACTCAAGAGTAATTCTGGGCCTTTTGGGAAGCTGAATTCAGGAACACAGATACCACTGACTCTTAAATGAGGCACAACTAAAGAGAGGCACATATTCATGCAGACAGTTTACCACTGTATGTAAGAATGGTTTTCTTCCAGAACTTCATAATTGTCCCACCAAGATTCAAGCAGAATTTCAATATGCAAACCTGAAAAGAAAAGGAAAAAGTCAGGCAAGAAGAAACGACACCAAATGAAAATTAAAGTTAGCCAGTCACCCAAGGTGGCTCATTATCCAGAGCCAGGTGTTCGCCTACAGGCATTAGCTTCTCTAACTAGACAACCATCCTGGTAAGCCAGAAAAAAACCCTTAGTTTTCTACCACCAAACAGAAAATTAAGGAACATACAGCAGGAACAAGGACATTTTAAAATGGAAATTCTTGGTGGTTTTATTGTGTGTTTTGGTTTGGTGGTGAGTTTTGTTTGGTTGTTTTTTTTAATAATTGTCCCACATGGATCAACTACTCTTTCACCAATTCAACCAGTTGCAGCAGAGTTGCATCAAACAGTCATCACACAAGGTACTTACCCTGGGGCAAAAAACAAATCTCATTTTTATAAAAGCTTAAGTTCCACATCTCTTCTTCCTCCTCATTTTCTGATTCCATCAAACCCTGGAGATGAGAACAAGAAATCAACAAGTAGCAGTCTTCTAAAAGGCAGTATTCACTTCAACACTTCTCCTTGCTTTCCCTCACATTTCCTAAACATTTCAAGTTAAATCCTTGAAATGTGTTTTGGGAAGTAACAGCTTGTTTCCGATGCACACACATGCACATCATCTCTTCCCCCTCACAAATGAACCCTTTAAAAGTTCTGAGCCTGTCAAAGTAAAGACAAAAGGGTGCCCTCAAATCTACAAAGTGTTCCTAAACTTAGCGTGCAATGAGGAAGAGCCACAAGAGCATGTGCATCATCATTTAGACCATACCGGGTAACGATGTCTGTATCTCTGCAAGTCTTTTGCGGCATTCCAGTTGCGCCTGCCTGAGAACTAGAGAGAAGAGACAGATCAGAGATCCAGAATAAAGTTGTCTTCTGCAAAAACAAAATCCACTGACTGAATTGAGCATCTCTCACACGTTCCCCTGCCTGTCGCTCTCCTGTGCTCTCCACTCTGCACTCCCAGCACCCCCAAAACCAGCCAGTTTGTTACTGAAGTTGTTTCTCTGCGTTCCTAAAGACAACTTTGGACTAAGCGAAGTTCACACCATCTCCTTTAACCAAAACAGTTCTTTTTCGTTCTAGTCTTATTAACGAAGGTCTTCATGTTTTATGCATATCTTTTATCCCAGCTGGGTTTTCCTACAGAAATGGTCAGAACTAGCTGGAAATCCCAAATCTTCCTTAACTCAAAGGGGTTTTAAAACAAGACAAACTAAGTCCTGCCTGCCTGTCTGTCTCTCTCTCTGAATCACTATATGCCCTAGTCAAGACAGAGATCAGACTTCAAAATTGTAGAATTTAAGATGCAGAAATATCCCTGAAATTCCAGATTCTTATTCCATGTAGACATTATTGAAATAAAGTTTTCTTCATCTTTGCTTTATGCTCAAGAGCAGCTTTGCTGATTTAGCATCATGCTGATCTAGACAGTGGGCAATAAGGGAGCCACATTAGATATTTATTTTATTGGACTTCCATTTCAATCATCATCCTCATTATTGCTCATCTATCTAAGTAACCAAACTTTACGTCAATCCTACCTGAAAATCCCTCTGAGACAGCGGTGACGAATTTGATCTTTGCTCCTACAAATAAAAGGCATTTAGTTGAAACATTCTGAAAACAAGCTTCACTAATAAAATTTAAAAAAAAAAAAAAGAAATGAGAATACCCACAGCAGTGACTCACATGATCCCAATTAGTTGCCAAGTGACAGATTTACCTAGTTACAGCTGAATTCGCTTGATTTTATTCATAATTCAAATTGCTACAGAGAAAAACCTGTGGTGGCACGTCCACCTGACAATTAGGTGTCAGGTTCTTCTCGCTACACAGATGTGCTAGATTCATTCCAAATGTAGCATTTAGACATCACAAAGAACAGCTTCATTTCTTCCTCTGAACTTCATGGAAATAGAAGTTGCAAGTATGACTTAATCTAAAATGTATTTTAACTGAATTATATACCTTTTTTTTTTAATACAGTGGATTACTTCAGTAAGAGAGTTTGTTACACTTCACAAGCAACACAGGCAGGTTTAATCTTGCTGAGTGCTGAACCATCTTGTCCCAAACCATGAAAGCGTCTAAAAGTGTTCTGTCAAGGCAGAACCACCAAAATGAACAAGACTGCTCATGAATGAAAGGACCCACCCGATGCGAAGCACGGTGCAGATAAAGCATTCAATGCCAGCTCACAGAGAGAGCAGGGTCTTTGTGAAACAGTCTAAACCTCAAGGGAGGTTTAGACTGGACATTAGGAAAAACTTCTTTACTGAAAGAGTGGTCAGGCCTTGGAACAGGCTGCCCAGGGAAGTGGTGGAGTCGCCATCCCTGGAAGTATTTAAAAGACGTGTAGATGAGGCGCTTAGGGACATGGTTTAGTGCACATGGTGGTGTTGGATTAACGGTTGGACTCGATGATCTTAGAGGTCTTTTCCAACCTTAATGATTCTATGATTCTATGTGCAGATTCTTGCAAAATAAGCATTTTAAGAAACTTAGAAGAAAGAAGCAGCAAATGCTCTCCCAAGTTATTTTTTAACTTCATTTGATACCTCCTAACCTCATTTGCTCGGAGAAAAATAAAAAACAAAACCACTTTCTATTGAACACATATCACTGGTTCATTAATTATTAAGGCAGAAACTGGATTAGATTTTTTAACACCTCATTGTAATGAAGTCATCCATTCAGCAGCCCTGTTGATTGTTAATACTTAAAATTTATGAAGCATGCACAGCATTTGGGAGATCAAAGCTTTATCCACAGAGGGAGGTCAACAATGCAGAACTTTTTAAAATTACATTTTAAATACGCATTTACACGCTACGATTCCCCCATACTTTGGTGACAGGAATTAAATAAAGTTTAAGTTGTTTTTTAAAGGTAATAACTTGTGATGACCTAAAATAATGCCTGTCTACATTGTAACACATTTCCATTTTATACATCACAACACAGACCAAAATAGGTGGCAAAACTTCCCACAGCCACACGGCCCATACAGGATTAGAAATCCAAGCGCTGGTGTCCATCCCTGGAATCTACCCAGACTGCAGAAATGCACACAACTATAAAAAGCTTTGCTACACAGCTAACACTTGGAAAAAAAAAAAACTGGCTGCAAACACAAGGCTAAGAAATATGTTCAGCCAGAACACATCAATATTATTCTTTTGTTCAAGATGTAAGCAGAGATTGAGATTTAGCACTTGAAATTCATCGATGCTTTTGACTATAACTTTTGAACTCCAAAGATGAAATTCTGATGTGGAATTAATGAAAATTTTGTTCTCAGTTACAGAAGAATCAATTTCCAGATATTCTTTATACTTAAGGTTCTAAAATAACATCCTTTAACACAGTCAGGTGGGACAAGCTAACAGTAGACTGGCTCCAATTTTGAAAAAGACCTGGTTTGCTGAAGAGTAAGTGTAGATACAGAGACAGATGCAATGCAATGGTGCAAGGTGCTGTGAGGCTTGTCTAGAAAGAAGCTAGATCCAGAAGAAACCTGTTCTGGAGCACACTGTTAGAGAAAACAAGATGGGGAAGGAAAGAGAGCAAAACTCAGCCCTCCCTTCAAGCAGGTGTTGTTCCTGGGTCTCTATAAACTTCTACTCAAGTCACACAGAAATATAACTTTCCCCCCTTCCTTGTTAGAAAGTCAAACCGATGTGCATAAGTCAAACCTCCCTATTTTTCACAACACTGATAAGCAATCTAAGTGGGTTTCTCCCTCCAAACCTGCAAGACATCAGTCAGAACGTGCATCACTGTGCAAAGAGTGTGAGGACAGCAGAGAACAAAGCCAGCAGAGGGTAACACAAACGGTATTTGGCTGAAAACTGGAAACCAGCTGAAACCGAAAGGGATAAACAGAATCCTAGATGAGTGATCAAAACCTTTTGTTGATGGAGAGTTAGAAGGCTGCAGAACTACAGGGCTTGTTATTAAAACACAGCTCTGAGCAGAGCAACATGAGCCCCATGCGCTACAGCAGACTAAGAGGTAACCTTTTTAAAATAAGCACAAACCCCACGATTTTCAGCGCTTGCTCCTAGAAGGTAAAAGCACTGAAATGCAAAAGAGCTGAAAAGACACACCTGCAGGAATTTCAGACCGCGAATATGGGAGTATGTGCAGAGACACAAGCGAGATGCACAAATAAAAGTAGAATTTTAGGTTGGTTTTGAAAAGCGCGTAGTGAAAATAATAATAAAAAAAACCTTCTAACCTCAGTATTGAATAAAAACATTAGCAGCTTCAGCCATAAAGTATACCATCTAGGCTGAGGGGAGAAGAATGAGAATTAGTGTAATATAAGCAGAAGTAGGAACTAGTTTTGGAAACTGATTCATGCCTTTGGCAGGTTGTAAAGGCATAAACGGATAGCAGAAGATTTACTGTTTCTTTTTGTATTCATGCTCACTGCCCTTAAAAATTTTTCAGGCACTGTCAGACATCACTGAAGGAAGAACTCCTCTTTAAAGATGCAGAACAGTATTCCAGGGGCCGTAAGTCTCAGGGAGAACATCCTCCCCTGTAAGGCAAAGTTCAAAAAGTCCACTCACTGGAGTGAAAAAATGGTCCTTGCTTTTACAGTTGTCACAATCCAGAAGCTGCTCTAAGAAAAAAAAAAATATCTGAAGAACAAACACATTCAAAAAGAATAATCTGAATGTTCTAGAGGCATTAAAACTTGTGAACAAAACCAAAACTCCAGCAATGTACAAAAGAAAACTGACAGCTACACTACAAACACTTCAAAGGAAATCCCTGCCTCTTCCTTTAAGTATTACAACTATTCTGCCTAAAATACCTGTGACCTTTCACAGATCTACACGCACAGCTAAGGCCTAACTACATCCCCTGCAGTAAACTCCGCGAAGATGCAGAGACATGCATGCACATGTCCATCTGCTGTATTTAAACCTTGATTTTGTTCACAAAGTACAGTCTGTATTTTTGTAGGAAGTCATGAGTGTTTGGAATACTATGGTGCACGGAATTTTTTTTTTTTTTTTGAAGGGAGACTATTTTAATAACTTAGTGCTTATAAAAAAATTTAAATTTTAATATTAAACTCCTTTAAAAGTATATTAATTAGAAAGCTTTATCTGCCTGTTTATATACTAAGAATATGGACGAGTCGTTGAAATGAAACTCAAGTGAAGGATTAGTTTCCCTTTCCCCGAAAGGGGAGGAGCTAGGTTAAAGGACTGTACTGTGTTTTGGCTGACCCAAGAAAGACTGAAAAAGAGAGACACAGTTTTGCATTTGCCAAAGCAATGCCGTAGAAGAAATTACTGACGCTCAATGTCAAACTCAGAAACATTGATGCTAAAGACAGGAACCTCAGATAAGACTAACCAGTTCCTTTTATTTCAAATCTACGTTATTTTAAGGCACCGGAGACAAGTGTTCACATTTCGCAGCACTACCTCATGCATTCTAACTGCAGTTTTTAAAACATCAGTGGATGTTTTTGTTTTCAGAGTTGCTTTATAATATGCTAAAAAGTTACAGGCCACATACAAAGATGAGGATACCGACAAAAAACTTAAAAGCAAGGAGTTGCTGAGGAACATCAACGTCATAACGTCAAATCCAGTGGCCATCAGAATGTGGTGAACAGGCAGGTGCCATACAGAAGACAGAACTTGTATTTATGGGATGAAGTATCCAGATCACAGGGAATGGTGGGGAAACAAATATTAAAACCCAGCTCATGGCAGTGCAATAAAACTTAAGGGGTCATAAAGTCACAGCACACCCCTGCCTTCAGAGCTCGTTTCTGAAGGGGCCTCAGGCCAGCTCTTCTCTTTGAAGATTGGCTTCAAGATGCGGACAAAATGATCGCTGCCCGGACAAAAAACCTTTGACTTCCCGTAAGTATTTTAAGCTGCTCCAGTTCCTGATAGTTAAGATACAAGGGGAAGGCGCCCAAACACACTGACAGCACACAGAGCAGGTAGCCTGGGAAGACCCACGCGTGCACATCAGTCGCACACGCGAAAGCATGAGAGACAACCCCAAGGGCTACGGTAACTCTCACGGTACCGAGCTAGCTGTTCAACACCTAAGCGTCTGCCTTTGCCAACGGAGAA